AGCCCTGAACTCTAAACCCTGAACTCTAAACCCTAACTCCTGAAGAGCACAATAGTTTCCGTTCTCCTTTCCCTCCCCCATTTTCTGCTGTCCACCTAGACCCAGAGTGCGTCGTCAGCCACTGTGACGTTTCTTGTTTGGCTGCGCACCAAGCGGCTTTATAGGGCTTAGGTTTTACAGTCTAGGTTTCAGAGGAGTTGGGGTTTAGGCTTAGGGATTCAGAGTTTAGGGTTCAGGAGTTAGGGTCCATGATTTTAGGGTGTAGGGCTTTAGGATGTAGAGTTAAGGGTGCTGGGTTTACGGCTTAGGTCCCCAAGCATGGTTTATGCGGAAGAAAGTTTACCACACAACAAAGCAACATAGGCACTACCCAGCGTTTCCCACCCGGAAGGATTTGCTACTTGACAAGCAGGCGTCCTTCTGCAGGATCTTGGGGTTTAGGGTTTAAGTTTAGGGATCAGTTACAATCCTACCTCTGAGTGTAAGCCCCGTGCGCTGTCGCGGCCCTTCCTCGCACGTTGACGCTGCCTGTCCTCCGGAAAAGATATAGGGAAGCTTCCCACAATAGGGGAAGCCCGATATGAACCCCAAAGCAGTATAATCTTTATTACCGAGACCCCAGAAGGCTACCCCATACGGAGTTTTCATTGGGATTTTCTGCGGCACACAGTACATATACCTCCCTGAAACTGACATGGAAACTGAGAGAAATGCACCGAAGAAAAGAATTTCTGTTGTTTTGGAATCGTGGGTTCCATGTCTACTTTGGAGGAGAATGCATATGAGCTATAGTCTAAACTCCTAGTATCCACCTTAATGACGACTATAGTAGTCCCCTATATATTTTTCTAGAATCCCCCTTGAAGGAGTTTAGACCCTAAACCCTAACCCCTAAACCCTAAGGAGTGTAGACTATAGCTCATATTATACACGACATCATGTGAGCATGATTTGAGCAAACTTTCGGGATCTTCAAAGGGAGATTGAGTCTCAGGGTTTAGGGTTTATAGCCCTAAACCCTAAACCCTAAACCTTCAGGGTTTAGGGTTTAGGGTTCAACCCTAGGAGATCAAACTCTTCAAAATCAGAAAGGTACTCTTGAGTACATGGGTTATGTAGGGGTTATATAGGGGTTATATAAGGTTAAATAGGGATATGTAGGGATATGTAGGGTTATGTGGGGGTAATATCAAGTTATATAGGGATATGTAGGGTTATATAGGGTTATGTAAGGTTATATAGGGATATGTAGGGTTATATAGGGTTTAGGGGGTTTGAGCTATGTACGGGTTGTTCTCAAAATGATGGGCCCCTTCTGGGCATAGATTATATGGTTTAGGGTAAGGTTTAATTACGAGTTAGTCACGATAAGTGACCTATGATCTATGGTCTAGGGTGAAGGCGGATTGCACCAGATGTTTAGCTGCCCTTCGCACCACCCGATTTACCTTACGCACTATCAAGTACAATGCGAGGGATCCTAGTCCACCATAGCTTAAGTGTTAAGGGTTTGGGGCGTAGGGTTTAGAGTTCAGGGTGTAGGAAAAATCGCACACACGAAGCGGTCCGCAACCAGAAAGGACTTGCACGGTCTGTTTGGGCCTTTTTTGAGGTAATGCGTTGATGGAGAAAATCTGGAACCTTCTGAAACCCCTGAAATCCTGGTGGTAGTCACATTAGTTTAGGGGCCCAAGTGTTGCAGAAGTTCTTCCATCCACGGTGCGTGATACCCCAGAGCTCACGACTCTAAGATGCTCAAAGACTGTTTCCAGGCAGGCTCATATTTGTCCCAAATTGCCTGAAATACATGCGGGCTTCCAAAAAATAGGGAAACTATTTGGGGGTCCCCATAAGAAGTATAAAAGTTTGAGGTCCATATGAGGTCCCCTTATGTTGGGAGACTACCATATAGAGGCCCGCACTACTTACGTAGTAGCGTAGGAAGGCGTTGGCAAGTATAAGGATCCTGGCGACGTCAGGGGGACCGACGGGGACGCCTTTGTCACCTGCACTGGCCATGTGAGGGCGATGATCAAGACCGCAATGTCTGCGCAGGTAGAAAGATAGAAGCTGCCCGTAAACCCTAAACTCTAAACCCTAAACCGCGATCCATTTCAATAATGTCACTCCTGGATCTCTAGGGAGTCCTTGCTCCACTAGAAACAGGAACGAAGAGCAGTAGAACAAGTAGGACAGGAACCACAAAGTAGGGGTTGTTATGACAAAGCTGGTGAGCACCCACGCAGTCCCCATAAGTCCTGAGTCGCCTAAACCCTAAATCTTAAACTTTAAGCCCTTAAGCCCTGAACCCTGAATCCTGAATCCTAAATCCTAAATCGTAAATCCTAAACCCCATCCCCTAGATCCTAAACCCTAAGCCCTGAATACTACACTGTCACCCTGTCACCCTAAATCCCGAACCCTAATTAAGTCTAGGGTTCTAATATGGGGGTGACATGGGTCGTTGGCTTGTTTGGGAGAACTCTATAGGGGTCCATATAGAGCATGTACAAGTTGTATATGCTTCCCTCGCTTCAGGGCAGCTATTAGAGGCCCTTAGATGACTAAGACTGAGCCAGAACGCCTTAACCCTGAACCAGCAGTGGTACCATGCTTGGGGGGTCAGAGGGGCTATGCAAGTATACCTATAACCCCGATACCCCATATAGTAACCCCAGTTAGCCCCCTTATTAAGCTACTTACTAAGTCCTCATGACCCTCCAAGCGGTGTGATTGCACCATTGGAGAACAGCCCGTCCTTTCTGAATAACTTTTCCACCTTGTCTCGGTCCTTCTCGGACCTGGTCTATGATTTGAGAGCTCTTCCAGTTTATGGGGGGTGTGGAGGTTTAGGGTAGGGTTTACAGAGCTATAATGAGCTTAGGGTTTAAGGTTGCCATTAAATTTAGGGGTCCAAGGTCCCAAATAATAGGGTTTTAGGGCCCAAAGACCATTACTATCACAGCACTTGGGCCCTAAACCCCATTAAGCTTCTTACTAAGTCTCCCTGACCCTCCAAGTAGCACTGCCCCGAACCAACAAAAGGAAGCGCTGCCTGCGTGCATTGTTCTTGCGTCATGGTGCCAAAGTTGAAGCGGCCCTGCTTGGGCACAGAGGTCTTCCGAAAGCAGGCCGCCGGACGTCGAAAAAAAATGAGGATCGACGCGAAGAAGGTCCGCCCATAGATTGTAACATGTTGCACTCAGGCGGGTAGTGCAGCTGGCAACCGGAAAATGCGAGTACATTCTGTATGAGTCAGACACGGACCACTGCTGGCGTGCATCACCCTCCAACCTCGGCCAAGAGCTCGTCAAGTATTGGCTGGGTGGGATCAGCTGCGGGACTCGGAGGAGTATCAAGTTCCGGGGACCTGTGACCTGATTTGGGTCCTTGGACCTTTAGGGCAAGGGGATATAGGCCAAATACCATTAATATTACAGTATTTGGACCCTAAAACCCCGTTATTTGGTTAAGGCGATATAGTACATTACGGAACTCCAGAGTTCCTCCCTCGAAATAAGTTGAGTGCAAGGTTTGCCACAAGGGAGGTCGAGCATAGGGATCAGGTTGAGGATTTGGGGTTTATAAAGAGTTTAGGATTTAGGGTTCACACGGGTTCAGGGTTTAGGATTCAGGGTTTTAGGTTCATATCTTAGACTTTACACCCTAAGCCTTAAGTGTATTGCAGCCCACCTCAGACCTGCGACGTACGTGCAGCAGGATACACAAGCATAACATTGTTACCCTCCCCCAAACGAACATGGAAGTTGATAGTTTGGGGTTAAGGTTCAGGGTCTATGTAGCGCCCTGATGGGCGCCCATGTTAGTTTGGGGACGTGTGGTATTTTTGGAAAAAGGCAACATTGTCCGACTGAGTATCCACAATGACCGTATGAAATAGGAACAGCAAAAGCTGTAGTTGTCTTTGACCATCCACAAAAACACAAACCTCAAGGCCAAAACTCTGGAACCTTTACTCTGGACCTTGGGTACTGCTCCCCCTCACTAACAGTTGGAAGATACACATAATATGGTTATATATAGCCCTTAATAGGACCCCTAACATAGACTGTTACTGGGTGAGGGCAGTACCCAATCTGGACCCTACATCGCCCTGAAACCCTTGGCCGACTCAACCCAACGCGCCAAGTCCCCCTAAGACTAGGCCCGTCCGCAAACTCCCAACACCAAGCCTCACATGCCATGTAGAGATTGGGGTTTGGGGTTTAAAGTTTAGGATTTAGGGTTGGGGAATTAGGGTTTAGGGTTTAGGGGCCAGGATTTAGGGTTTAGCATTTAGGCTTTAGGCTTTAGGGTTTAGGACCCGAAGCTGATCCTTTGAAACATCACCTCACCCTAAACCCCAGACCCTAAACCCAGGATAATTTAGAATAAGCGAAATTCCCAATTGAAGGCCATATTGGTACTATTCCCTAAGTAACCCACCATTTAGGGTGAGGTCGCTTTAAATTGCCCAGTAAACCCCTCAACCATAAAGCCTTAAACCCCAAGCACCCTAAGCTGAAACGTCAACCCCAAGACTTGAATCCCCAAACACTGAGGCAAGGACAGGGGACGGGGCTCGGATGGTTTGGGTAGAGCCTGCAAACCGCTATGATAAACACTAATCCCTACACCTTTTTTAAACCGGCCTCAGAACCAAGGGTTTAGGGTTTAGGGTTGTTTAGGATCATACTTACACTTACCAAAATCTTAAAATCTTAAAATCTTTTGGGGGCCCGTATAGACACAATATAGAATCCAAAGTGGTACTGTTTTGGATTTGGGGCTTGTGGTTCAGGCTTCGGAGATAAGGCTTGGGAAGGTTTGGGGGGTTTAGGGTCCATTGCTTAGGGTTGCATCAGGGGAGAGTTTGGGGGTTTGGGGGGGGTTAGCGTTTTGGGGGTTGAAGGTTTAGTTCTTTAGAGTTGAGGGCTTAGAACTGATAATACGTATAGTACACAGTTCTAGGAATTTAGTCTGAAGTTGAAACCCTAAACCCTAAACCCCTAACTAAACCCCTAAACCCTAAACCACTAGTAGTCAATCAGATCTCCAGGTAGGATTTACGTAGATTTGCGGCTGGAAGGAGAAGGCAAGGCTTTTGCGGGGTCTTGCAAGGTCCCGTAGGATATGTATGTTCCTGAAGGCTTGATGGAAATTTAACCCGAAACCCTGATGCTTCCTACTGCTGGTTAACAACCCACCAAAACGAAAATGATTTCGAGATAGATTTTTGTGATTTAAGGACTGGAGGCAAATGCTATGAAGAGCTACTAAGCCCTAAACCCTAAACCTGACTAGGGCACAGTCAAGTCCCAAATGCTTAATCCTAAGCCCTAAATCCTTAACCCTATTTCCTGAACCCTAAGTCCTAACCCTTCATCCTCAACCTAAATCCTTAACCCTAAACCCCAACCCAAAGCGGAACCTTGGTGTAGGCCTGTCGAAAGCGGTCGAGGTCCTGGCAGGGATCCGTTGTGTTTATTTGGTGGTTGAACCTAGTAAGATTATTTAGGGGTATAGGGTTTAG